GTATGTGTCAGCCTTGGGCATGTTACCAAGCAATGGCCTCTCAGGTCCAGATGGAATGCGAGCGTGACTAGGTAGTTCGCTGTCGGTGTTTCTCCGAGGATCTGAACGGCTTATGATATCATCCAAGGGAATGTTTTCTGACAGGTTCTGTAGCAAGGCATACTCCTGGGCACAAGTTGTCTCGAGTTCACGGGCGACGGCTCGCACAGCGTTGATTCGGTCCTCTAGAGAGTCTCCCCGTAGTTCGGCCCATTCGTCTCCCAAAGGCGCTGCTACTCCTTGACATGCTATCACAAGTTCGGAGACTATATCATAAGTCTTTTGTTTCTGTATGCTGAATTCGCTGAGCTGCGATCCTTGAGAGTCCAAGTCCAAAGATGTGAGGTTGATTTGTTCAATGGTTGAGATCCAGGGTCGGCATGCTTCAAGCACCTTGCTTGCCGCGTTGCATACGTGGTCGCCAATCTCCTGATGTTTTTGGTGTGAGATGACGGTATCCCGTACGACCAAGTGGTCGTCCAAGCGACGAATGCTTGAACCAATCAATCTCTTTACATCGTGCAACCTTTCCAGGACACGAGAGTCTAGCTTGAGAGTCGGCTCGACAGAAGACGGCTCGTGGTCTTCTGCGTCAGAATACATCGAGGTATTGACATCCCTGGAGTCTGCGCCATTGTTCTGCCAGCTACCGCCAACGGTGCTGCCGACCACGAATCCAGGCACAAGGCGGGGTATCTCTTCGCCCCGCTGCTGACGAGCTACTTCCACGAATCCAAAGACACCATTCATCACGCCCTCTGCTTCTTTCAGACACTTTGAGTAAGAGTCTGGGGGAGGAAAGTCGGATGCGGCAATGTGCGAAGAAAGGACTAGCTTTGAAAAGCGCGACATGGTCTCTCTGAAGTGAGGATATAGGGCCTTGTTGGTCGATATGATTGAAGGGTTGCCAGAGTGGTTATCCGTCGTTCCCGAGCCAGCTGCAAGTAACAGCCGGAGGTGATCTGAAATGTCTTCAGCACGCTTTACAAACTCAGACCTATCGCTGTTGTTGATGGCCTGTTTGTATCGTTCAATCGCGCGTCGCATATCTTCGACCATCCTGTTCCAGGTAAGAGGGACTGGGCTGACATCGTCGTAAAACTTTCGTGATTGTGGGAGGGTACCGTTGGGTCCACCTAGGCCAGGGCTGTTTGCAAAGGACGTGGCCGTGGTACCAGCAGGAGGCATTGCAGCAGAGGCGGCAAAGCTCATGCTACTTTGGTCGTAGGCCCTGCCATGGTAACCCCCATTCATTGACTCCATGGAGGTGGCTGATGAGAGTCCACCGGACAAGCGTTGTCTGTGCTGTAGTGCAAAGTCAGAGGGGCTCTCACATAAGTGGGAGGGAGGGTGAGCGGTTCGATACTTACACGAGAGGAGTAGGAACCCTTTGTTCCTGGACCTTCAAAGTCGGATGCGGATGTTTCGTCGTCTGTGTCTTCCATGTTGTAGCCAGAGCCCGAAGCCAGTATCTCAGCAGGCGGTCGCGACATTTCTGGAATGAAGACATCTGTGCGGTTGCGCGGGCCACTCTCATTTGTGGCGGGTGACTCGAGCGGTAGCTCCATGGTGCTTACGCCGGTCAGGGTGTTGAAGTAAAAAAGCCTTCCATCTGGGGTAGCTTGGGGGATCCAAAAGGCAGCCTCCTCCTCCTTGTTGTTGGTGGATGCGGTGTTGCGCTCAATGGGCAGGATGGTGTCGTTGCCGCCGCTCAGGGAGCCATCGTCGGAATAGTCGCCTTCTGCGCCACTGGCTGAACGAGTATCGTCGTCGGCGTCGGCACCGTCTCGGTCTTCCTCGATGTCTTCGCTAGGCCGCTGCACAACGGCGCAGTAGTTGCTTGGAAACCAGCCACGGACACCATGGATGACTCCGTCCCACCATCCACTCTCCAGCTGGGTGATGACTTGTATTATGTCGCCGGTCCGGAAGCTTAAGCTGGTGCGGTCGTCGGCCTGGTAGTCGTATAGGGCCTTGACGTACATGCCGCCAGCGTCGGTCGTGCCGCTGAAGCCGTTCATGTTGGAAGGCGCGACCAGCTCGAGGGGGAACGGGATAGGAGAGCAACAACGACGTCTGCACACTCGGGTGCAAGATGCCCCTCTACTGCGACCCAGGACAAGAGCAGAAGAGTTCGCAAGGTGGGCCGCTCGTTCTTACAGCGCGGTCGATTTCGAGGGTCAGATAGCCCGCGTGTTATGGCCGGGGGGTGGGTGAGGGCATGCAATTGGGCTAGGGGCGGGACCGGCATGCGAATGAGGAGCCTTGCATTCGCGCCTCGCTGAACTGCACAGCGAATAGAGTCTCGCAGCAGGCACTTGTGTATGATTATCGTCGAGAGGAAGAGAGCTCAGGAGCGAAAGAAACTGCAACACCAGGGCGGGTCGCTGGGCAGGCGTTGTGAGCGGTGGAGGCCCCCCGAATGTGGGGACACTGCTGCCACAAGTCACGTGAAGAGCTGGGTTTCTGGATAAAAGAAGCTAACAATGTGTCAAGCCCCGGGCCCATCCCTCAATCCAAGCCCTCGCGGAGCCCGCTTTGCTTGTCTACAGCTTGTAATATTCATGCGTATCTACATGCGAAGCCCGCCTGCAGCCCATGTTGTGCATATACGCACAACCTGTCTGTCCAGATGGATGGTTATGCTGCTGGTCATCCGGAGCTGGCTGCATGTCCATTGTCTGTCCAAAAGCCGCCGGTCCAACACGTCGCGTAAGATTTGTTGTCTGTCAGATGGCCGTTTAAACACGCCGGCCTCAAGCATGTCTATGTAAGTACACACATACTATGTACACCATACGCATCAGAGTAGTCTCTCTACGCCTGGCTAATAATGGTCCGACAATGTCATGAACCGTGCGAAACCCCCACCCACGGCTCCAGTACGGATGCTAGATGCGGTATGTGAAATGTAGGACGTACATCATCCATAGTAGGTATGCATGTATGTCAGTATGTGAGTATGCAGGCGCGCCGAGTGGAAAGCCTGGCGACTGAGCGGGGAGGACCTCAGGCGTTCCATACACTCGTCAGTTCATCTAGAACACTGGCTGACTCGTTGGCTAATTCTCCTTCTATGCGCTATGGAACGTTGTCCCAAAGACGGCAGGGACCTGTCGCCTTTTGCGGGCGGATACCGGAGCAATTGAGCATGATACCACCCTACCGGTCTTGTGCGACCGTCCAGTCGTCCGACTTCTGACCCTTGGCGTCCTGACACTCTGCTTGCGCCGAACGATACTTGCAGCTGCGCAAGTGGCCAAGAGCCGCTCAACGAGTTGTGCAACCTAGTCTGGCGAGGCTGATGGTAAAGGTAGAGAGCATGTGGAACACTGGAAGCTGCAAAGTCAAGCAAGAGCCGCCAGCCCCATGGACGCGAGAGCGGTGACTGACACGCGCATCTCATCGTCGAAGACGCCATGGAAGCTTTGAGTGATCATGGAGGAATTAGCGGCCGATACCATTCTCGAATTTGCTTAATGTGTCGCGTGGAAGCGGAAGCCTCGACTTCTGGGTTCTGCGACACTGGGCTGGAGTGGTGTGGGCCGGCCACCCGCCCAATTGACCATGATGCTGCTGTCACTCCCGGGGTGGCAGGGAGATTGTTGGGATATGACGGGATATAGCGAGGGCAAAGGGAAGCTTGGTTGTAGTAAGTACGAGTAAGCAGCACATGGCAACGGGAGCGGCGCTGGACGTGGAGGTGTCTCCGGACGGTGTCCAGAGGCCATGACCATATTTGTTCGTCACCAAACGGTAAAAGGGAAAAAGGGCAGCAGCCACCGAGCATTTCAGCTTGCGTCTTCAGACAATGGCGAGCACATGGACACGGGCAATGCCCCGAGCCGGCCATGGTCCCTGACAATAAGTAATTCTAGTCGGTTTGCCTTGACCTTGTTGAAATTATCTCACGGCGCAGGCGGATCGGTAGCGGCTCTATGGCGTCCGTGTTGCGCGAACAGACCATGGCCTGCCACATGAAACCTCGACCACGAAGCCGCGTTGCGCTTCTAAAGCATTACGTGAAGCGTTCTAGCGTGAGGAGGGGCGAGGGGCGAGGGAGGGGGGCTTTTTTGCCCAGCAGCCATGCATGCCCCTCGCTGACACTGAGGGGTTGTGAGAGAGATAGCACGAGGCATGTGGCGCGAGGGCGCAGTCCAACGAACTGACGGTGAAGGCAAAATGGGCTGGCGCGGGAACAAGGCCGTTTACCAGACCGCGACCGACGCTATGTGCTCCAGGACATACGCGCATCCCCGATGCAAGCGGGGCATGTTAGTGGACTCTTCTAGGTGCTCTGCTGCTTACCGGGAAGGCAGGTAGATGGGTGTTTGCATTTTTGTGGTGGACAGTGACGGTGGTTGTGGTGGTGGTGGGGGGCTGGCGCAGGTCAAAGGGCAAGGTTGCTATGGGCCTGTTGGCATTGTGATGGCGAGGGACAGGCGTAAAAAAGCATTCCATCGTCGCGCGATGGCTTGTTTTGAGTGCGGTCGACAGCAACGAGCTGCTGCCGTCTGGTGCATGTGTGGACCGGGCTAACAGGAGGATTGTGGGTCCGGGGAACGGGATCATGGCCCGGAGGTATGGATAGAGTTCCAGGAACGAGTGAGGGCAGCCGACGATCGTCTCCAAATTACTCGCAGCCACACAGCAGCATTTCGTAGTGCGAGGTTGAAGGGTGCTCCTGGCGTCATCTTGTTGGCTCCGTGAGCGAGGGGCTGCAGCCACCCCTTTTTTTATTTTTACTATTATTATTTTTTTGCCGGGTGAGGTCATCATGGGCCAGCGATTGCGGCCAGCGAGGGGCAACACCCGCCTGGGTGGTGTGCATGTGTATGTATGTATGTATGTAGTGTAGGGTTGTATGTAGGGTTGGGGTTCGTGCCAACATGAATGGCGCAGGCACACAGGCACGCAGAGTGAGGCGGTGAGGCTCCATGCGCTCGGCCTGCATCTGAGGAATGGCGCCCCAGCAGACTACTCACTCAAGAGGCAAAAGTCGTCTGGCCATTCTTACCGCCTCTTTGAGATGTCGAGCCACAAGTGGTGGATACAGAGGGCGACTCCGCTGCCAGCGCGTGGTACGGCGAAAGCACGCTCTGCAAGAGCCTCGTGCGATCAAAATCATTGGCCACGCGATTGCCATGTTGCAATTGGGTCCAGCCCGTCAACTAAGGGAGTACCCGGTGTGCAGGCGCAACTGCAGATGGGCGGTATGGCTACAAGGACCTGGCTTGGGGGAGGGAGGGGCTGTAGGGCGCGGCAGGGCGGCAGAACGCGAGAGGGGTGCGAGGGGGAGGGAGGGGAGTGTGCGTGATGGAGAGAGGGAGAGTGGCACAACAGTGGGAGACAGGCTCGCTCCAAGCAGCCATGCTCATGGCAAGAAGGCGTGGGCACGCAGCAAACCACGGGCGGGCAACCCTGCACGACACACTGTCAATGGGCAGCGATAGATACAAGCAAATATAACGTGGGATGCGACCGCTGTACACCTACTTCATCAACAATTGGCGTTGGATTCGCTAGCGCTGTCATGCTGGACGTAATTATTCGGTCCCGCGAGGAAATCACAGGGGATGGCTGGGCTGGTGAGCCTGCTATTTGGCGGACTGTGCGTTGTGCCTCTCTCCCCCCCCCATCTTGTGATTTTGGCTGCTGCCCCTCTTGGTCTCCTTATTCCGCCCTCGCGCCGCTCGCATCCATCTCAACCCTCACGCAGCCCGCGGCCTTCATCATTGCGCACGCAGCCCTGGGGCGCTGACGTCTGTATATCGCGCTCTGCCGCCGGCCACTCCTGTCCTGTGCTCGCATTTTCTGTTGTGTATACAAAACGCGCGGGATGAACGACGGGCACAGCCACTGCACCTCGCCCATCAACACACTTTAACGCTCACGCGCGCCGGCCGTTCCATCATCCCCTCGCATCGGCCTCCAGCTGCTGCAGTTGCCCGCTGCATCTCTGCATTGCCGTGATGGCGTCCAACTCGTCGCCCGCCGGCCGCAAGACGGGCGCGCCGGAGAAGAAGTACAAGTGCCAGTTCTGCAACCGCGCCTTCAGCCGCAGCGAACATCGCAGCCGTCATGAGCGATCCCGTAAGTGCCCTCCCCTTGCCCAGCGTCGCCATGGGAGCTCTGCCTGGCTGGAGCGGGGTAGCTGTTTACTGCGGCGGGACACCTTCGCGCCGTGGTCGCGCTGCGGGGAAGATTGACACTGTGTTGCTAACTGCCCCTCACCGCAGACACAAAGGAACGCCCCTTCAAGTGCCTCAAGTGCCGCAGCACCTTTGTGCGCCGCGACCTCCTCCTCCGCCACGACCGCACTGTCCATGCAAAAGACGGCGGCGCCCCGCTGCCCAGCGAGCAGAAGCGCCGCAGCACCACAAAGGCCGCCGATGCCGGGCCCTCGAAGCCCGCCCCCGTCGACAATGCCACCACCCTCGAGCGCATCCAGCACGACTCCGAGGCCATGCACGACGATGACGACCTCAATGCTGCCGCCATGCTCATGACCGACTTCCACCACAAGGCCATGGCCAGCCAGGAGCCCGAGATGATTCCCGAGCACAACGAGCCCGTCATCTCCCCCACCGGGCCCCCCATGATGGAGCCCGTCATCCCCTACACCGCCCCTGGCCAGAACATGCTGCCCCAGATGCCCTGGAGAGACTCAATGGTCCCCCAGTCTGAGCCCAAGTCGTCGCCCAACACCCACTCGGCCTTTACCTCGGCTGCCGCCCTCGGCTCCCACCCTCACCAACTGCCCCCTCTGATGGAGCGCACCATGTCGGGAAACGACAGCCTTGCGCCCACCTTCTCCGCCATGAACGGGGGCAACGGCCTCGGAACCCCCGGTGCTCTGTCGCCCTATCCCTCGATGATGGGACCCGTTTCGCCAGTCGACTACCGCAAGTCGCCCGGCCCTAACCAAGCCTTGATGATGACCCGAGCCCCTCAATTGGACTCGGAAGAGCAGTGCGCCAGGATCTACGAGAATATCAAGCAGTATGACAGTGAAAACGCGCTTCTCGAGACATTCCACCTTCCCAGCCTCAACACCCTCAACCGCCTGCTCAAGACTTACTTTGATCTGTTCCACCACCATCTCCCCTTTCTGCATCCCGCCACATTCAACCCTACAGAGGTGTCGGCCCCGCTGCTCCTTGCTGTCCTGTCGATAGGTGCCCTGTACATATTCGACCAGGACCAGGCATATATGCTGCACATCGGATCAAAGGTTCTCGTAAACCAGTTTCTGCAGAACAAGGAGAACTTTAGCTCGCGCAAATGCCCCCTGTGGACCATGCAGAGCACACTGCTCAACATGATCTTTTCCAGCTGGAGCGGTGACCCAAAGGGTCTCGAGTGGGCCTGTTCGATTAAGAGTCTTTTGGCCAACATGGTTGCCGGAAACCGATACGAGCTCAAGCTTCGGTCAGATGCGCGTGATGGTGCCCAGCCAAACCACGAGGAATGGGTCGTTGACGAGCAGTGCCGCCGAACATACTACGCAGTCTACATCTTCTTTGGTCTGCTCACTCTTACCTATAACCACACACCTGCTATGGGTTTCAATGAATTTGACACGCTGGAACTTCCCTCCTCAGAATCCCTCTGGACTATGGAAGTCTCAGATGACGATGCCTGGCGTGAAAGCCTGAGCTCGTCTAAGATTATCACGTTCCGTCAGGCGCATGACAATCTCTTCCAGGGCGAGACTGCACGCTATAGTGCCTTCGCCACGCGTGTCATGATCAATGCTCTGTTCCTCGAGGTGTGGTATCACAAGCGCAGCCCTGAAGCTCTCCAGGACGTGGTCACCGAGTACAAGCTCCGGCTGGCTCTTGAGACATGGGAAAAGTCGCTTGAGCTGTGCGAACCTGAGACTGTTGTCGTTCAGCTGAGCGCCCCTCACAAGGGCCACCCTCTAATCTTCAATGCCATGGCGCTATATAGGAACACGCGCGCTCGACTAGTCGTTGATCTCAAGTCTATCCAGGAGGCTCTCCGTTATCACGACTCGTATGAAGTCGCTGCTGCCATGACCAACGCTCGTGACAAGGTTCAGCGCTCACCAGAGATGATCAAGGTAATCCAGGAGTGCTTTGACTGCATCGAAGTCGCTGCCGTGCAAGGAATCCGCTGGGTTGCACGTACTTCAGCCACCAATTGGAGCATCGAGCATCCTCTTACTGGTATGGACCTGATGGTAATTTTGACCTTGTGGCTCTACCGTTTGGAACACGACGAGGAACCAGCCACCGAAGAAGAGCTAGCCATGTACAACAAGCTGCGTAACCTGTTCGACGATGACTCGGTCGATGTCTACGGAGCCAAACTAAGCTCTACTGTCGCTCGACTTTGGGGTAGTATGATTGACGAAGTTGTTGTTTGGGGGTATGTTGATCTCTTGATTACTCTGCGAAACTTGTCACTAACTCTGCGTAGCATCACCAAGCTTATGGGCGAGGCCTTCAAGCTCCACTCACAAGCCCTTGTCGGCTATGAGGACGCCATGTCTTCTCGCTCTGGATCCGCTACACCGTCCATGGCGGCTGGCGGTGTCCAAGTACTCGAGATGCAAATGGCCTACTAGGGCCATGCGATTGACCTCTAGCACTCTACTCACGATCTGTTTTTGATTTTTTGTCTATTTCTCTGTTTATCTGTCACTGGGATTCTTTGTTTGTCTTGCTACAGTCACCTCCTTGCATCTGGGAGCATGTCATGGAGTTTGGGCGTGTTGAGCATTAGTACTCTATTTCTTATCTCTTTTCACTTTCTCAAGATTGGGGTAATACGGCGCACAGGGGCAGTCGTCCAGATTGCTACACACTTGAGCATGCGCTCTATTTGTTTGGCGTCCTTTTAATATCTTTCCCTCGCTCATACCCATCGGCATTTCTGGACTAATGGAGGCTGGCCCCAGGCGCGTCATCGCTCTGCTTCGGTCCTGCTGCCTGTATTGCCTCTGCTGCATTTCTGCTAATACCGTTTGTTTGCTGTCATTTTTTGCAGTCTTTTCTATTCGTCATGGAGCTTTTGGGGTTCGATGTGCATATACCATAGTATTTCATGAAGCGCCTTTACGTGGCGGCGGAGGGCAGGGTGGAAGTAGTAGATTGACCATGCCGAAGTGTGGGTAGATTACGATTTCAAATATTATTGTATGAACACATTTTTGCATGAGTATGTCGGGATTAAACGCAGGCAGTATGTGAAGCCCATTGGATCTCAGTGTTGCCGACCACAATCCGACGTTCAGTGAAGCCGCTAATCGATAATGGTTACCCACGGACCACCATGCATAACTAGCGCGAAGAGCTCCAATTGAACTTTTCCAAAAATTTCGAGGCCCAGCTACACCAGCCCGTCTGCTTGCAGTTCCACGCATTGTCCGCCATATTCATATATCCCTCTACTTTGGCGTTCTAGCCCTCAAAACACAGTCGCATACAGTCACAATGTCGAAAGATATCGAGGAGAAGAAGCTGAAGAAGGAGAAGAAGGACAAGAAGGAAAAGCGCGCCGAGAAGGATGGCGTAACCAAGAGCAAGAAGGACAAGAAGGAGAAGAAGATCAAGGGCGATGTCGAAATGACCGACGCGCTAGAGGCAGAACTCGAGAAGGAACCTGAGGTCTCCATGGTCAATGTCGTAGACGGCGCATCCGGCGACGACGAGCCTCGCGGCGCCCTCGTTCCCTTTGCATTCCCACTTGCCGACAACGACAAGGAAGTCAAGAAGATTCTCAAGACCGTCAAGAAGTGTACGTCACCATTCCCAATAAAAAAACGCGCTCACACAATCCACACATTTCGACTAACCTTTTTTTTTCAAATAGCCGCCAAGTCCAAGACGCTCCGCCGCGGTGTCAAAGAAGTCGTCAAGGCGCTGCGCAAATCCGCCGCCGCAGGCGCTGCTTCTACGCTCAGCGACCCCACCGCCATTGTCGTCATCGCCGCCGACATCTCGCCCATGGACGTCATTGCGCACATCCCTGTCCTCTGTGAAGACCACAACGTGCCCTACATCTACATCAAGAGCCGCGCACAGCTCGGCGAGGCTAGCGCTACAAAGCGACCTACCAGCGTTGTCATGATTGGCAAGGATAAGCTTGGCAAGAAGGCAGGAGAGGGTGATGATGAGTTTGCTGAGGCGTATGCTGAGCTTGTTAAGGTTGTGGCGAAGGCTAGCAAGACCGTGAGGAAGTAAATGTACGAAGATGTGGGTGTAAGAGGGGCTAGTAGAAGAAGAAGTTGTCTCTTTTTTTGGGGGCGATTCGTGAATGTTTTCGAATAGTCACTTTGTTGAACACACCAAAAAAAGAAGAAGAAAACTCCGGGGGGGTGGTGGAAACATGGACGAGGAGTCTGGCGTTTGTTTCGCGTTTTTTCTCTCGAAATGCGGAAACTTGGGGGCTTACTTAGCTAGTTACTGTCATACTGATTTGCCATGTCAATTGGTATATTCCGGTTGCTTTTTCAATATATCTAAATACTATTAAAAACTCACGTCTTGTTCTCTCTCTCTCTCTCTCTGCCTTCTTACTCTTTTCCAAGTGTGTGCATAATTGCTGCTGTCATACTTCCCATCCTTCTTTTTTTTTCTTTTAGGTTTGTTTCTTTCTTTGATCTCGCACTCTCTGGTACTGATATATGCTATTGTTTTATATCCATCTCTTCGATCGCGCAATCCAGTTCGTTTCAGAATTGTGCTTTTTTTGTTTGTTTTCAGGGACACGTGTTCGAGGGGTTAGGGTATACCTCTGTTTGGGTTGAATTTTCAGGTACTAGTCACATCGGTGAGTATGTTTATGTAATCTAAATGGTGTGTTCTGGATTAGCTTTTTTCTCGGCTGCTTGTGCTAGCATTCTTATTTCTGAGGGGTTTTTCGGGCTTGTGGGTTGACGTGGTAGTTTGTGATGTGTGGTTGGATATGGGTGTTTGAAAGGTAGTGGTTGCGATGATGTATAGTGTGCGTGCTTTTTTTGTTACGTGTTGTCTATTCTTTTTTTTCTATATCTGTGATATGTATTGAGACCAAGAGAGGGTATCCTGGGTAGGATGCTTCTTGGTGTAGTGGTGGGAGAATGGTACGATGATGCGTGGCTGCATTTTGTTAAATGTAAGTTGCCACATTGAGAAAATGCGTCAGATCGCGGACTAGATGGAGCTTTTTATTAATTAGTGGACTTTTCGTTGTCTTTACACGCTCATGGAGGGGTACTAAAGTAATTAGAGGGTTGTCGTTACGTTCTTGTTGTAAGATTCTATTCCAGATCTCAAGCTGGCATTACATAGTCCAGATCAAATCATGAACGAGTAGTACGCCTCGTACAATCTCATGACTTCAAAATCTCAAGAGATGAAATAAATGCTGACGTAACGCAGCAGAAGACGGAAGAACTATCTCAGAATCATTATGTGTATCGTGAATAATCCGGCCGACAGAAATCTAAGAATTGAGCCGTCTGGGACAAACGAGTTATCCCTTCTCACTTCTGACTTCTCATGAGGTCACCACCAACATTCCAACGTAAAGGTATGAACAGCTTCGCAACACCAGATTTTTTCATTCACTCTGTCTAAGTTCACCAACGCCATGGTACTGGTTAGAAAACACGAGTCACATGACCAACACATCTCTATCCACAAATTATTACATAGGCCGACAGCAAATCTACAAAGAATATGACCACCCCTCCATCTGATATTGGGATTTTTCCCAGATTCATGAAATCTTGACGATATCATTCGATCCACAGCACAGTCGAGGTCTTCAGATCTAGATCGGAACGATCAGATATCTCGAACATGCGGTGACGATCGAGCATAGCCTATATCAGCCCAGCGAGAAAACCATTAGATTTTGTCGCAATGGGCCACTGAAGAAATTTAGTCATATTCTGAATGTATTCACAATAATCTCGTTCTTGGACTGTAGCCGCTCCCTAACTCCTTCTGGCTTGGTACCCGAAGTAGATTGATATCGTATTCAACGAGATCTTTATTCGGCCGATATATGTTATCTCTTCGAATCGACTAGTACAAACGAGCTATGAATTAGAGGCAAAATCATTACGGATGAGGTTTAAAGAAACAGTACAGTGATGGAAGATGCTGCTTTTGTTTTATTCTACATCAGGCTTCTCATATGAAACAGAACATTTTAATTTAGTGACAGACGTACCACAACTCCCTAGACACCTCCAATACTTTACTATAGATACTTGATTTTTCCATGCTAAACTCACGCGTACTGTATCACATTTCGAATCTTCAAGCCATTCCCTAACCTTCATCTTTCAACGCTGTCCACCCATTGCTACTTCTGAGGCTTCACTACTCGCAATTTACTCCCGACATGCATTTCCTTCGCCTCGACCTGCTTGTGAAGCTCGGACTTTTATCTCCAGCATTCATAAATACATCAGTGATGAAATGTTAAGCTAATGCTCCCTGTCTTGTGGGGTCTACTGGGCCATGCTCATGCTATCATCAAGTCATACTCCAAGGTGGAAATTGCGATGGCAATTATGTAAGTTCTGATGGCGTATCAGATGAGGAACCTTAGCTGATGTGATTTAAATTCTAGAAATGTGAATTCAACCCGGCCTAAACATGACGAAGGCGATTATGTTCTACCAATACATTGATTAGTACCAGTAATCTAATATGGATGTAAACTCTGCTCAACTACTCAAGTGAACTCCGCATGTTTTCATGCTTCTCTACTATCTCCTATACTGTTATATCATGAAACCGACTCTCCAGATGCACCAACTGCGCGGTCTCCCACGCCGCCAAATCCATTGGTCCCACCTCCCACCTCACCCCTCTCCAACCCTCAAATACACTCTTTGCTGCCTCTTCGCGACCCTCAGATTCAAACACTTGCACAATTCTCTCCGCACCACGAACTGCCACCTTAGCCACCTCATCATCTCCACGCTCAACCTCACGCCCAACAGCTGTAACAACCCTCCTTACCGTCTCACCAACCCACCATCCCTGTGGCACCAAATCCGCAAGCGCAAACCACCACGCTATAAGTACCAGAGCGCGGGGTTCGCGTTGCCGTACGAGATGAAGAAATTCCGGCATGAGGAAGGATGGGAAGACAGAGATGCGGATGCCAAAGTCTTCGGTAAGGCGGTGATAATACAGTGAGAGAAAAATCGGGGATAGAGCGTGAAAAGCCGGTAGAAGCGTAGCGATATATGGCCTGGGCTCATCTTGTAAAGACACGGTGCTTTCAAAGAGTGCTGTGAGAAGGGGTGGCAGGAAGAGACCATGCTGATCCGCAAGGTGAGAGGATGTGTATGTTGGTGGTGGATTAGGAGATGTGGGTGTGGCGCCCAAGGGACCGGTGGATACACAGGTAGCTGGGTTGATGATAGGTGGTGGAGGCAGTATACGCGACTCTCGTCGTACAAGTGGATATACAGACAGCTTCTCAATACCATGGTCCCAGCGGAGAGAGGCTAGAACGCGCAGGCCCTCGCTGAGTTTCAATAGCGAGAATATCCAGTCTAGGTATTCGTCGTCCGTGTAGGAGGGCAATGGTAGTACTAGGGAAAGCAAAAACGTTCCTGTTGCGAGCACAGCTTCGTAATTCTCCAGAGTGATGTGTTGAAGTGCGGTTTTGTAGGAATCGAAGGTTTTTTGTCTGTATATCAGGGCTTGCTTTTCTACTTGTTTACTTGGAGTTTGGATATTGCTTTGTGTGGCTGCGATGCTTAGAAGTGAGTAGAGTAGAAAGGTATGCGAAATGCCCATTTTTGGAACAACTTCTTTGTGTACATTCTTGACCACCGGGTCATCCCACATTACGAAGCGCTGCCAGACGTGGGTTGCATAGTATTGCAGTAAATAGTGATCGAGTGAGGTAAATATACCTATCGATGTATTGGATGGAGGAACGAGAGATTGAAAGGAAGAGATGCAGAAATCAACCTCGTTACTCAGGGGTTGTGGTGAAGTCTCGTGACTGGATAATGATTCCGGTGTTGCCGATGAAGACTTCTGAACATATTCACAATCGAACTTTCTCTGGCTGCAGTAACGACATTTTGGCCGCGCCTCATCGCACTACATTGGGTTATTCGCAGTCTCCAACGAGAACCGTTGATCGAACCTTGACTTTCTTCCTTTTACACGTTAAGCATCCGCCTCTTGATTTGGAATGTGGCTGTTTGCTCACAAAGCCGGGACTCCGACGCACCATTGGATTTACGTTAGTATTGCTTGGTAGAGTTAATGTTTCTGTATGAGGCTGGTTGGAGCTATGTGATGTGTAAGGCGCCCAGCCGCTATGATCCATCCTTGTAGTCTTCTACGTCATCTAAAACGCGAGATTGGGTGTGATTAGGCCACTTTTTACAGAGCACAACCAATGTGATGATAGTGGCCGAAGTCTAATTCCATTTGAGAGACTACTGTTTCGATTTTGAATTCGACTTTTTTCTCGCATGCAACCTTATTCGATCTATAAATAAATAGAAGCAAAATACTAGCGATGATACGGCTAGAAACAACCAAAGTGCGAAAAAGAACCCATGTTTACTTTACCTCTCTAGCCTCGCAATCGATCTGTGCTTGCACCTTCTCAGCCTGTGTTACATACCGTGGAGGCTCAAACAATAGCAATAACACCACTACCAGAAACATCGGTACCGCATCAAAACAGTACAGCGTCCACTCATGCGCAATGAGATATGCCGCGTTCCCCATCGAATATTCGATCAGCCTGAACACACAGCGCAAGAGAATGAGTGCACTGACACTGTAAAGAATATACAGCATCCTCTCCCATGGCGTATCGACCACAGGTCCAGAAGCACCAGCAACATGCCTCTTCATCCTTAGGTGAAAATCCCCCGCTGCAACGAGAAAAACCATAAAAGTAGCAACTTGCAGCGCAAGCCCCGCAATAACAATCTTTTCCCCCGCTATAGCGAGCGAAAGTTGCATCGTACCCATGATACTAGCACCTGTTCACCTCTCCATTAGCATCTGTTTCTCCAATTCCCCCTTCGCACACCCACATCTTGCCTCAAAAAAAAAGAGATAGAAAGAAAATAAAAGACTCACCCAACCCCTGCACAACCAACGTCGTAACATCCGCCGTCACAAACCCCCTAGTATACCACCTCGCCCTCCCACCCACAATCTCCTCTGCACCCGCAAGCCGAATCGTACGGCCCAGCATCATATACACCGTCGCCGCGAACCACAGCGGTCCAATCAGCAACAAAACACCCTGCGTGATAAACGGGGCCCAAGCTTGATTGTCAAAGTGCGAAGCGATGCGTGCGCTGTAGCCTCCTACTTCGCCTGTTTTGTACAGTCCAAAAATTGGTAATTAGCCAAAAAAAAAAGAGTTCATGATTGTCATCAATAGATAGATAGATAGGTAGGTAAAAGGAAGAGAAAGAAAAAAAGAACGTACATAAAGCGCCAATGACAAGAAAAACAATAATACGGTTTTTGGATCGAAAGAAGCGGAGTAGGTGGAGAGATGTCATGATTGCGAAGACAACGATGCAGAGTATAGCTCCTGCGAGGGAAGGGGTGTAACGGTACATTTCCCAGTCGAAGCCTGGGGATTTGGGTGGGTTCTGGCGTTTCCAGGTGAGGAGGCTGAGCGGGATTGAGTTGGTGGTCATCGTGGTTGGGACGATGAGGAAGTAAGGTGAAAGATTGAGAGAGAGAGAGAGAGGGGGGGG